CCCTCCCCCTCTCCCCACCACCACTCAACTGCCTCATTATAGGGATGCCCCTGATTGCACAAAAAAGCCTCCTAAACCATGACATTACAGTCACTACAGTGAATAAACATTTTTTTCAGATGCATTTTTCGATAATGCGCTGTCCAAATTCAGCTTACAATCTTTTACTAAAATACTGTTTATCTCTATTGAAATTGCAACATCAAGTGTTTTTATAAATGGCTAAGCCATGAAAATCATATTTCCAGTAAAAAAAAAAAAAAATTCCTTTGTATAAACAGGTCCCCATATCAACCTATTGCTGAAATTTTGCTTTGGTTTTAGGTATGATCGAACTAGACATCACGCCTTCATGTTAAAGGGCGACCATCACAAAATAACGTGCCCTCTGGTCATGTATGCACAGTGCTCAGCTCTAGTCAATGCTAATGTAGAAAGGTTTCCTTCTGAAATTTGAACCCGTGTCAGTACTTGTGCCTAAGCCCACTTAGGTGTCAGCTTTTTATGAAAATTGACAGAGAAAAAGAAATATGCTGTTTTCTTTATCGGATAAGAAATGTGCCTGCTTATAATCATAAAAATATAATTGCCCATGAGTTTGTGGACACCTGACCATCACACCTATATGACATTCTTGGACATTCCATTCCATTCCAAAACTATGTCCATTATTATGGAGTTGGACCCCCTTGGTGGCTCTGACAGGCTACACTATTCTGGGAATGATTTCCATAATAGTTTATGGAATTTTGTATCCATACAGCCAAACGAACATTTGTGGTCATGTGCTGATGCTGGTTGAGAAGACCCACAATTGGTATTCCAACTCATTTTACTGGTGTAGGTGAGGTTGAGGACAGAACTATGTGGAAGTTATGTGAGTTCCTCCACATCAAACCATATCTTTATGTACATGGCTTTGTACACAGAGGCACAGTCATACAGGAAAAGAAAATGGCCTTCTCCAAACTGTAACCACAAGGTTGAAAGCATACAATTGTCTAAAACAGCTTTGCATGCCGTAGTGTTCAAAGTACCCTTCAATGGAAGGGATATTTGGATAGATGTCAACATACTTATGGCCTTTTAGTGTGGGATACGTGCAAAGGAAGAGTAGGACTTGGTTCAGGAAACATCTTACATTAAACCATCCTTTGCAAATTTTTTTAAGACTGCCACAGTTTATTTTTTATCATTTTGTTAATCTTTTATCACTGTATAGGACTGAATATCTATCTCTTAGTCTAGTTTACATTGTGTTAATTCATCCTTCTCCCTTTGTGTCCAGATGAAACAAGCACATGTGTCTGCAGAAAAGCTGGGAGCTGCCACGATAAAGGAATCAGCATTTGTGTCCTAGTAAACGACAAGAAGCAAACTCTGAGTGAATGTGAGGCTGGAATCCTTAGATGCCAAGGGCAGGATGTGGAAGTTGTCAGCACGAGTCCCTGTGATGAGTAGAGGAATCTCAGTACAGTGTCATTGCATTTTTGTCCTGCTAAAGAAGACGTCAAAGCAAGTCAGCACTTCAGCCGCTCTACGGCTCCTTCATGCCTACAAATGCCATTGAATTATGATATTGCTTATATGAAATGTAACATCAAATTCAAGCTGTCAGGTCTTTTGTTTGTGTTTGGTAAAACAAATTGAGTTTTTTTTGTACCAGATACAAATAAAACCCTTTCTGTTTAGTATTTGGCTTGTCCCTTAATAATAAGCACAGATTATATCCAGTTTTACAGTAAGCTCTGTCTCTGGTCTCCTGTGTTGCGCTAACTCCCCACAGTATATTATTGAGCGGTAACTTTACACTATGAAATTGGTACTTTGACTTACCCTGGCATGGTTCATTGGCCAGTGAAGCTGTCTATAAAGGAAACATGTCAATTGTAAGGTAGGAGAAACCGGAGGGGCTGGGCTGAAGTTGAATTTGCATATTAAAGGAGTTGTAAAGTCCCAGCATATAATATCCCGTTATAACATCAGCATTGTAATAGGAATACATACTAGAGTTGTTTTTTGATAAAACAATCAAAGCCTACTTGAAAAAAATCCCTTATATGTAGTGCTACCTTACATTTGCTCATCACTTCCAACAACTTCCTTCCATCTCTTTCCCTCCTGTGATGCAATCTCAATTTCTCAAACCATCATAGCCCATAATGCATTGCTCCCAGCAAGCAAGTATAATGTTACATTGCTTAGACACTGAGTTCAAAATGCAGACTCTGTAAGAGTTGTGTCAGTGCATTGAGAAAGTATATTCAGTAAGTGAATTTACAGTACAAACGCATAGATGGATATGGTTATTAGAAGTGGGCTAGAACTTATGAAAATTCAATATAGAAATACTGATTTATTTTTAGTTTTTGACTATAGATACCCTTTAAAACAGGCTGGGTCTTGGTGCTCCCTAGGTGCTCAGGAACAGGGGTTCTCAACCTTTTTACAATTACAGACTCCATTGGATTGTCCAATATGTGTTCATACTCCCTTCACCAGACTGTTGAAATCCTGATAGGTATCGGTATTACTTGTATCGGTATTACTTGAAAAGATGTCAGCAGTTTGATTTCACTTTAAATATGGATAGCTAGGATAAGAAGAAGAACTGGAAAATAAGCATAAGGATCATATCATTTTTTTATATATAAAAACAATGATTTACAAATACTCTAGCAAAAACTAGTTATCTTTATGCTGTTGTGTTTGTCCAATCAAGGCATGGAATTCAGATCCATTTACTGACAATAGTATTTGCATATCATCGGACACATCATGAATTATTAGGCCTACTTGAATTTTAGGCTTAATAATGCAGAAAATCCTGCTTTTGTTTTTTTTTAAGTATTAAGAGATCCAGTCCCATTACCCCATCCTTTGGTAATCAGTCTAGGGGACCTAGGAACAAGCAGAATTAAGCCGAGCATACACATATATACACTGTCTGGCCCCCAAAAAAGTCACCACCTGGATTTAGCTAAGCTAATAGGTCAACACCTTCCATTGAATAATAGGTCCAGATTCAGCAATGTTATGTCCCAAAAAGGTCAGCTGCCTACCTGAATATACTGAATGTTCAGGTTTTTCCATCAATGGATTCTTTTCTTCTCCGATGGCACGGACAATATCCTAAATGACAATGCCATAAGTAATCGGGCTCAGATTGTGAAAGAGCGGTTCAGGGAGCATGAAACATAATTTTCACACATGGATTGGCCACCACAGAGTCCAGCCCCCATTGAGAATTTTTGGGATGTGCTGGAGAAGACTTTACGTTCTCCCATCATCACTACAAGATCTTGGTAAAATACAACACTGGATGGAAATAAATGTTGTAATATTGCATAAGGTTATAAAAATGATGCCACGGCAAATATGTGCCGTAATCAAAGCTAAAGGTGCTCCGACAAAATATTAGGCCCACTTTCCAGCCACAGCGTCCAATGTTGCTGAGAGCTCTTAGCAACCTGTGATGCTCTGGTTGGCATCCCACCCAGCTTCTGGCAACCAGTGATGTCAGTGAGCTGGGTGGGATGCCAGACAAAGGTACCGTGCACCCCTCGTACTGTGCATTTATTTATTTTTTCTAAAAGATGGACTTTGCCTTGAAGGAGAAACCTCCCAAAAGTGGACACTGACACCAAATAAGATGACAGAGATAACAACCCTTTCTTAGGCTCCATTCACACCTGTCACAACCCTTTCTTAGGCTACATTCACACCTGTGCGGCTCATCGCGCATATTCAGCTGTACGGATATGCACGGAGCCGCTCCAAACAAAAAAGACGATGCACCTCAATGTTCATCGTTCACACCATTGCGGGAACCACGCGGCACAAAAACCGTGCGGCCTCTGAAATAATGCAAACGCGATAATACAGCGGATTAGCATATAACAAATTATAGGTCTAGCTTACATATTTCCTAAGTGACTTTATTTATTGGAAGTTAGATTTACTGTAGCCTAGGATTACAAAACATAATAATAATAATAATAGGGTAATAATAATACCATCATATTAAATAAAAGTAATATTTACTGATATTTCAAGTGAAAAGCTGGATGGTATCAACAGATGGCAAGGATAACGCATGCTTATTACTGCTATTCAATAAAAAATAGTCATTAAAGTGTGACTGGCTCAGCACAAGCTGTTTCACGCTAAAAAGCAGCTAATGTGTGTTATCAATCTCAAGATGGAAAATTCTTGTCCTTTCAGTATAGATGTTCTCTGGAAAGCTTTTCCACAAGGCATTTAATTCATTTTTTTGTTAAATGTTTCTTACCCTGTCTGCCTTAAAAAAAAACAGTTACACGTCAGAAAAGGCAATTGGATTTTGTAATGTCAGTGAAAAGGAAGCTTGTTATTAGGTGGAAAAGCCTGAATGTTATCATTGTTAGTTATCAATGTTTCTCGCTGCTCTGCCATTGAGGTGACAAAAAACCCTTGTGGATAAGCAAAAGGCTGCAATAATTATTTAAAGAGACCCTGTTGCTCCAAAGTCTTTAACCCCCCC